ATGGATGGATGGATGCTGCTGAAGCTATAGCATTGTTTAAGCGGCACATATGTAGTAGAAGTATAAGTTGCAGGGAAATACAGGATTTAAACCTTATCTTGAGCACTGGCCCTCGAGGCATTACTATGACTGGATTTTTGATGAACTTTGGTTGACTTGAGAGCTGGCTCTTTAATATGATTTTATAAATGGCTGGGGTTGCTTTGGGATATTATTGTTTGTGGAAGTGCTTACTGTAACTATGCTTTTGTTTCTATCTTGTTTTGTAATTAATACAAAGTGCTGCAGCTACAGGGAATAGACTGTCACAATTCCCATTTTGATGTGGCTCTCAGATGCTATTTATTCATGACAGAAGTGACTTTTATGGAAAGGCAAAACTTGAAATTGTTTTGAATTTGCACTCCTTTGATTGCTAAAACAATGATCCGTGCAATTTAAAGTTTGACTTCCAATGTGAGATAATAACGCAAATGTACTGTATTTTACTGGGTGACAGTAATTGCTCATAAGTGATACTCACTGGTATGACATGCAAATTGCTTTGTATGGTATGACTGGGACTGAGTGCTTGCAGAAATTGACAGCACTTTAACACAGTTTTGGCTTGCAAACAGGCCTCATTAAAAGCAGAACATTTTTCTGCTTTTTTGGTTTGATTAAGACAGAAATTGTTGGCTTTGTCATTCTACCAAGAACTTAATGCTGCTGCGACTGTTATGATTCACGGATGAGTGGACTCAAATGCAGGACACTGGAGACTGAATAATTCAACAAAAAGCAAGTTTAATAGCTGATGAAAACATTCCTCAGGGTTGAGTAAAAGGAAAGGTATAAATCCAGAAGTCCAGGCATGCACAAAGAAGCAAAGGGAACAAGAAGAATCCACGTGACAAAACATGCTATCCAACACAGGGGAAGACAAGACTATATAGCCAATCACAGGGGTAATTGGGGTTGGGGAAGCAGTTAAACAGAAAAGAAAATAATGAGGACAGGGCTGAAGATAGCCAAATAGGGAAAAACTAGAAGGTAAAACGAACCAAAACCCATTGTGCTGTGTCATAGCACAACCGAAATTACTGCAGATGTGTGCAATGAGCTTGCACTGTCATTGCTCTTGAAATGGTTGCTTTAAAGACAGACACCAGATCTTTGAGAACTCAATTTTTTGCCTTTTTGGCAACTTTAATGTATCAAGATGGCGATAAAACAGCAATTGGGTGGAGTTAGTCTGCTATCAGTTTGCAGCTGAATTTGCAGCTGAATGGGATAAAGATGGCACACGATCTCTTTGTGATGATGCCGTGATTAACTTCTATTTGGAGATTAAGTATCGGAATTTCAGGAGCGGGACCACGCCTCCAAACACGCTCCTTTTGGTTCTCATCTACAGTATATAGGTTCCCTCAGTCCTACAAGTGGTCATTCCCGTTTATGTGCCCCACCCTCCTTTGCCTTTTCAATTCTTTATCTTCTTCAATTATCTTCTTCGCGGCCCGGTAGCCACCGCCAATCCGCTTCGAGGCCTTCCCCAAACTGCAGCTCAATTCATGTCCAAGCCATTCACCTTTACCTACTAAAAAGCTGTCAAACATAAAATCAGGACGTGGGCCAGGCTAGTGAAAGACACAGTCATTGACATGACACAGAATTAAACGTTACATTAACATAAATTTCTCAACAAAGTGGCACAATTACTGCAGGGTTGAAACTTAACTGCAAAATGGCATAGATGCTTGGAGACCTTGCTTTGATATAGCAATACTACCAGAATACAACTGTTTGGCAACTAGTTTTGTAAAGTCTCCTACTGCAAAAAAATCGCAGACAAGTTGCTCTTGTCGGCACAGACTGATTTATTCGGTACGGCCTGGGTTTAAATGAGATACTGCAAGACACACATATTAACAGAATGCCCGCTCTAATAAATTAAAGGCAGTGCTGTTTTATAAGCCCAAATCTTCCTTCTAGTGCAAGACCACAGTTTACACATATCCCTCCTACAAGGAAAAAGACTTCATCTTATGCATGTAAATCCATAAGGCAGGGCTTATTATTCTAAATAGCAACATAATATTATGCAAAGACTTGTGGAGACTTTGATGTTCTCTGCCTTCCTTTCATCTTAAATTAATTTAAAGGAGGAAAGTTTGATATAGACAATCAGGACTGATCCTCTGCAACCGTCCGATCCACCTCCACCACCCTGACCACGCCGCACACACGTAATCTCCCCTCCCCGAAAGCCAAAGTCCACATTAACATCGTAATAGGAAAGTGTGTTAAAGCAAAGCTCTTGCAGCCTGACAAGAGCGAATTGGATGTCAGAAGGATTCCTGCTCAGTTTAATTGAATCTGCCCAGCACTAAAAAAGAAAATCTGAAGTCAAAATAACCTATTAGATCTATCAGGTAATGTTTTGTTGAGTTTGACAGGTAGCACTGCGCTGCCCTCCCCACTCCCGACTCCATTCCTTCAGGTTGGGTAATGCAGGTGTGTAGGGATGGTATCCATGATGTTTCTCTCTCTGTTTCTGTTATTCGTTAATCAATTGCAGCCTGGCTCTTTCTGTTTTCTGGAGCTCACTCAGCAAATCCCCCGTGTAGAACTAGGCTGGAGAAGCATGTGGAGGGGTTTTTAGTGAGTTACTTCAGCTAATGGATGGTGGGGCTGAAGGTCTGCTCCATGTGTGAACTGAATGCTAAGAACTGGACGTTGTTCAGTTTCCAGGCTTCTGTAAATATTTTCAGTAAAAAAAGAAAGAAAGAAAGAAAAGAAAGCATTAGTGTGGAAATGAAGGTTGGTGTAATGGTATCAAAATAAGCTAAAAGCACGTAAATGTACCTGTACATGTATATTATGTTGAATACAAATGTGCTTCATGAATACACAATGAAGCCCAGGTCACATCTCAGTGCAGCGTTCAGCCATGTGAATCTTCTCTCCAGCAGCCGTTCACCTTCCTGGGGCATAATGTGGGGAAAGAAATGTCCTCATGCTTTGTCCCATGAAGGACCAATCACGTCGGCAAATGGATATTAACTTGGGGTTGTCATGGATCCCTACACATGATCAATAGCTTTCACACAGCATTGCAACCAAGGACTTTAGGGGACTGTTGTCCAGTCACAGATGTTTTTTGTGTTGTTTTTTAACCCAACTCCTGCTCTGAAACTTGATTAACTATCCCCACTGTGTTAATAATTTGTGAAAGTTTGTTTTGTTTAGGCACGGTTGCATACAAAAAAACATTTTAAAGACTTATTTTTCTAATCATGAAACCTCACAACGATACACAAGCCGTGGCGAGTAGATTCTTAATGAAAGGTACAATACTGAATAATTTCTCGTTTGGTATGACTATGGTTATTCTTAATCAATTCTTGATTGCAATCCAAACAGTTATTGTTGTGGCAATTTCGTACAGTGGTTATTAAAATGTCAGCAAGAGACAAAGGAGCCAGACTGAACTCAGGAAAAGAAAAAAGTCCTTCTTTGTCTTGTGGGAGAGCAACTATGGAGCAATCAAAACAACACAAATTGCACAGCGTAACGCGTGATGTGTGTCACTATATTAACCCTTTGGTTATAACCAAGTCCAACCCTAGGCAATCAATTGTTCTTGCAAGTCTTGGTAATTAGAACAAAAAAGTTCTAAAAACTATTTATTAACTCATTTTTAGCTATTTATTATTTAAAATATAGGGTTATCACATATCGTGACCATGACTTCAGAGGTCTTACTATACATGCAGCGAAATTCTACTTAAGATAAAGAGCTCAGCATACTAATGAAAAACAAACGACATAAAAGAGGCATTAAGATCACTAGTTAAAAACTGAAACTGCTGATGAGGTTTGGACACATAGTTTGAGTACAGTGAGGAAAAATTGTGGTATAATTGTGACTTTGGTGTTGTTAACATAGGATCGAAGCGTGGTATGTTGTATGTGTCACAAGCTAAACATGCATCCTGGCCCTGAACAGCTCACCTGTAAGAATCACATTTTACCATTTCTTATCCTGTCAATATCTAAACATGTAGCTTACTGAGCCATATGTGTGTGTGATCGCTGAACGAATCAGTGTAGTAAGTTGATTTGGTCAAAAACTGAATTGGCTTCCTTGATTTTCCCTGCATTGAAGGGATCACACCCTTTTTGAGTACAGTTGTAAAGTTGAATAAATGTCAGTAAGTGTACACTAAGTATTAATATATATATGTTAACCTGTGATTTTACAAAATGAACGATCTCTCCTTATTTGCAGCACCATTGTTGCTTTTCAGTAACAACTTTTTAATATTCTTCATAACTCTGTCTGTACTGTTCCTTCTTACTGAAGCTGGTCGGTCTTGATCGGTCCATTTAGAAGAAATGTCGAACGCGTCAAACGCCCCCCTTTTATGTGAGCGCGTGCAGAGCCTGAAGCAGAAAGCCTGCTTTAACAAAGGAAGTTGATAACCACCCTTGTGATACCCATTATGTCTGACTGAGCTAACACAAAGAAACACTTGCTATGTCAAACTTGCTTCTTAGTACACCCTCTGGACCTCCATATGATTACGAAAGGACCTGTGTCAACATGTTTTTCCACCAAAAAACACATACGTTAAATTTCTGCGCAGGACTGCTGACATCTGTGTCTGCATGTGTTTATTTCTTCCACTGAGCTCGTTCAGGAAGAGTAAAGCAGTATTAAATTCATTTCTTTTGAAACACAAGAGCGACAGTCATGACAGTCAACCAGGCAGCTCTGGATTTACTGGAGTGTATGGGTTAAGTCCAAATCTTCGGTTTTGTTAAAGCAGTGCATCTTAGGCATTGCTGCTCTAAAGTTCCTCTATCTAAATGCCTTGTATTAAATATAATCTTCATTTCTATCACTTTAACTCTCAGACTGTGTGGTAGGGATTTGGTGGCTGATCGCTAGTCTCTCAATGTCAGGAGAAGTTTTAGTAGCACTGTTACTGATTTTGTTTTTTCTTCCCGTTCAGATTCACGAGCCGGAGAAGGAGCACCCAGAACAGTGGACCATGCAGTTATCGGAGGAGTGGTGGCTGTGGTCGTGTTCGCTATGCTCTGTCTACTCATTGTCTTGGGACGCTACTTTGCAAGACACAAAGGTAGTAGATATAGGAAATGTCTAAAAACAAAGTTGCTAAATGTTTGAATGTTGATACAGTTGGGTCAACTGCTCATTAGCACAAATATCAAATCAGCCAATCAAATGGCTCAATACATTTATGCATTTAGGCATGGTCAAGATGACCCGTTGAAGCACAAACTGGACAGCAGAGCAATGTGCCAAACAGACTGGTCTGGTCTTCTAGTATTTTAGAAACTTCTTTATTGAGATGCCACACAACCATATCTAGGTTTACAGAGAATAGTCCAAAGGTGAGAAAAGAACCAGTGAGCATCAGTGCTCTGGGGGGGAATCTCATGTTGATGTGAAGGCAACAGTCAGTAAACTAACCTCAACTAATGCAGAAGAGCATCTCTGAATACAGATGGGCTAAAGTTGCACACCGGGACCACACCGGGCACAACTTCTGTCAGCTAAGAACAGCAAACTGAGGCTACAGTTAACCTGGGCTCAAAAAACATGGACAATTGAAGATTCGAAAAATGCTATATGGTCCGATGAGTCTCTATTTCTGTTGCAACATTTGGATAAGAGATAACATATGCAGTAAATGACATGAAATTATGGATCTATCCTGCCTTGTATCAACAGTTCAGGCTTGACACACACTACCAGCGTGACTCGCCATCCCTTTATGACTATGGTGTGCCCGTGTTCTGATGGCTACTTCCGGCCATGCCACAAAGTTCAAATCATCTCAAACTGCTTTTCTTGAATGTGACAATGCATTCCCTGTACTCAAACGGCCTTAGTTTAATAGAGCACATTTGAAGGCTGGTTGTGCCTCTGGAGGTAGAGTGGGTCATCTAATGACCAGATGCCAAAGTGTCCTTGGGCAACCCTGAGTTGCTCCCGATGCTTTTATCTGGGTGTAAATTTGTGTGAATGTCAGATAGAAACCAGTGCTTGTTTGAACCTCTATCAATTGGTGAATAAGAACTGTATAAAACACTTTGAGTCCTCAAGTAGAGAGCGAAGCTGCTGTGTACGAACAAGTCCTTTTACTTTTTACCATTTACCTTTGGGATATGGTGGAACAGGAGAGTCACATAATAGATGCTCAGCTGTCAAATCTGAAGCAGCTGTATGATGCTATCATGTCAACATGGAGCAAAATCTCTGAGGAATGTTTCCGGCACCTTGTTGAATCAATGCCACGAAGAAGGCAGTTCTGACGGCAAAAGGGGGGGGGGGGGGTCTAATCCACTATTAGCAAGGCATACCCAAAAGCTCCATATGATACATTTAAATTTTGTGTATCATTTTTAAGAAGTACCTGTTATTTCACAGCAGCTTTCCTTTTAAGCATTATCTGTCCCAGCAGGCAGTTTGTCAAGTGTAGCCTCTTTACTTTGTTTCTGCAAAAACGACTTATTACATCAATGGATGGTTGCTATCAAAATGATGGAAAGACAGCTATTAAGGCTATGGGTTACTGATGATGAGTAAAATTACATTTTTCATGCAGTCCTGCCGCATAGTATAACAAATCTTGTATGCCGTCCTCACAACAGAGAAATAATTAGAATCTATAACACATTTCACACTTTGATGTTTCTTATGCGGGGGGAAATGAATTGGGTACATTAACCACTTTAGAGAGGAAGTACAGTAAATGAGGCAAATTAAAAGTATAGAGGAAATGTGCTCTTATTTCAGTGGTGCTGAACTCTGAGTGGCTCCTCACATTTGTGTCTAGAAGCAACATGCAAGCTGCTTGCTGGTAGATCTCAGCGGTGCAGTGAAACTTTGAGGCAGTGAGGTTTGCAGTAGCTCCAGTGATTCGTACGACTGTTTCCCAGATCAACACACAAAAACAGCCTCTGTCTAGCTGACTCCGACTGACGTGACTTATTGACACCGAAGACCAGGCACACAGCCATGTGAAGCAGTCCCACTGTTGTGTTACCGAGTGCAGCAGTGCAGATTTTAAAGGATAACTCTAGTTTATTACAACTTGGTTGTTATTCTGTATATAATGTTTTCAGCCACTTTCGTCAGTAATAAAATAATTGAAATCCATAATCCAATACTGAGATCTGGAGGTGCAGAAACATTGCTTAAAAAAAAAGAAGAAAAAAGCATTAGAGGGAGAAAGAAACAGGTGCAGTCAGACAATCAGAGAAGTCAGAAACAACCCCCCCAGGTTGGTCAAACTTATTTAGAGGAGAAAGCAACTTTGAAATTACTGTCCAAACATCCATTACACCTCACAGACCAACTTCCTCAACTTTGACCCACTGTGGAATTGGGACCTTTGTAAGGAAAAATAGGGGAAAACGGGTTCACTTCGGGCCTATTTTGTGCCCACTTCTCATAAAATGATTTGGACAGTCTTGCTAAACTTTTGGCATTTTACACCCTGCCAATTCATCCAGCTGTTCATGAGTCCTAACACATCTGTCTCTGCTGGTTCCAGATCTCAGCAGTTACTTTGGCTCATGCAGAGATATTGAAACTGACTGGCAAAACTATGAAATATAAGCTGTAATAAACTGGACGTATCCTTTAGTGTTCACTTTGGAATTATTGTCACAATGCTGCTTTCCTCTTAGGCGACTCGCAACATGTTTTCAATATAAAACAGCAATAAGATGCAAGTACAAATAAAATTCAGGCCACTTTGACTAATTGTGTATATTATGAGAGGTAAACTGTTTACAAGGTAGAGTGCCTGGAGGCCAAGTATAAATATTCATGACGGAACAATAATAATAATCACGAGGAGGGAGGTTTTTGTTTGTTGTTTTTGGGGGGGGGTTGGTGTCATTTGGCGGCTACACCTATGCCGAGTAAATCTGAGATGTGAGGCTGCAGCAGCCACTCAGAAAATATTTGAATTAGAACAGAAATATTGTCTCAGGCAACTTTTAACTACCTCTTTAAAAACTTTCCAATAATTACTCAACATCATACTTACCTGAAGGGACCCACAGCCCTGAGAGTAAGTGAAGCAGCAGATTTGTATTAACTGAAGATAAGGTTGGAGGACCACAAAAGTCTGATATTACTGTTCAAACTTCTGTCAAATTGAGACACATTAAGAATTTTATGAAGTTATGATGTGGAATATAAATATATATATTCCACATCATAACTTCATAACTATATATATACTAGGGCTGCCACAAACAATTATTTTGATAGTCGACTAGTCACCGATTATTTTTGCGATTAGTCGACTAATCGGATCATGCATCCACTGGACGTAAAACGTACAGCTTATTGCACCAGCATGCATCTGTTCTTATATAACTATCATTAGCTTACAGCTTTAAGGTAAATGGTAAATGGACTGGTTCTTATATAGCGCTTTTCTACTCTGTCTGAGCACTCAAGGCGCTTTATACATGTTTATACATCATCTTTAACCTGATAGCGAAAGATGGCAGTGGGTTTGAAAATGATTTGCCGGGAGTCCGGTGTTCTCACCGGCTCTAGTGAGCCTTGAGCTATCGAGCTGGTGGGTAACAGACGTCTCCGAAAACGTCAGAGCGCTTTGGAAAATATGTGATGTCTCGATAAACCAAGCAGATATTTGAAGTTTACACAGTTACATTCTCACCTGAAAATATGTTAAACGTTTATTTTGTGACCCAGAAAGAATGATAAGAGTAATATTAAAACTAGCTACCGCCATTGTTGGAAACTGAGCAGGGCCGCGCTATGAATTCTGGAATAGGTTGGGCCACAAAGTATACACCCGACCCATCCTTCAAATCTGGGGAAATGAAGGGCGCACTTGTCGGAGTCTTCAAATTTGGACAGTCTTCGTCGTGTCGCTGTAACGTAATCGGCCTACAAATGCAGGCACAGCCTGAATTTGGACACAGCTACAATACCGGACACTGCTTCTTCTTCTTCTTCGGGGTTTAACGGCAGCTGGCATCCTTGTACATGCAGTGCTGCCATCTTCTGTTTCAGTCTGTTATTACACTCTTAAATCCTACTACTTATTCCTGCGTCTTTTGTGATCTTACAAAGCTTCAAACGATGCGTCGACTATTAAATTAGTCGTCGACGATTTTAATAGTCGACATAATCATGAGTAGTCGATTAATCGTGGCAGCCCTAATATATACACATATATATATTCAATGTATTTTCTTGCTTTATACATGCTTTATAGTATATACAGCATAAAAGAAAAAGTTTTCACATGGGTGCAGTGTAAAAAACACTCGGTGGCTCCACTCAGACCCAGTGTGAAGGGAAGTGAGAGGGTTAGCCTTTGGCGCCTTGAGTGTTCAGTTGTGTGATTGAAGCCCAGATTAAAGTTGGAGTAAAATATTGGGATCTCTCGTGTTGTCCTTACATACCTCTACAGTATATCCTTACTGCTTCCATAGAAATGAAGAGGGTAAGTAGCAGCCAGCTGCTGCTAATTAAATGCACTTGATTAATTGATCATCAGCAAGTGGAGGCACCTCTATAAAAGCAGACGTTTTTGGCGGTTTTCTGGTCTGGAAATATAAAGGTGTAAATTCCAAGGAGAAAAAAAAAAGGCAATGATCTTAGAAAAGCAATTTTTGCTTTGTATCAGTCTGGGAAAGGTAATAAGTCCATTTCCGAATAATAGAGTCTGGCATTCTACAGCTAGAAAGATTATTCACAAAAAAACATCCAAGACAGCTGCCAGTCTGCCAGCAGTGGACGTCTGAAATTCACTTCAAGGTCAGACTGTGCAATGCTCAAAGAAACTGAAAAAACCCCAAGAGCTACATCTCAGACTCTACAGACCTCAGTTATCATGTTAAATGTCAAAGATCATGACAATACAATTAGAAAAAGACGGAACAAGTACAGTTTGTTTGGCAGCACAGCTTAGATTTGAAAAGTTGCTTCTGAAAAACACTTCTGTAACAATGTCCTTTGGGCAGATGAGAGTGGAGATGTTTGACCATATTGCATTGAGTCGACCATGAACTCCTCTGTAGACCAAAGTAGTCTAGAGTCAAATGTGAGACCATCTGTTTGACAACTGAAGCTTGGCCAAAATTGGGTCATGCAGCAGGACAGTCAGAAAATCTACAACAACATGTTTGAAAAAGACACGAGTCAGAGTGTTGCAAAGAGACCTTAAGAGAGCTGTGCATGAAGGAATGTATGCAAGCCTCAATGGTCTGAAGCATGATGAGTGCCATCTAAAATTTCCTCAGAAGTCAATGTGCCATACGATTGCATTAGCAATAATTTTAATAACGCTCTATATTAACAGTTACACACTATATAGAACAACTTTATAGAATTATATTTGTTTGCAGATGTTTGCAGCTATCAGTGAATAGTTATCAGCTATTTTGAAACAAAAAAACAACACTTTTTATCCATAACAGCAAATGGACTGTACAACAGAAAATGCAAAAGCTACTTATGGTCTCCTCACACCAATGATAAGAAAAATAAACTGGGCCAAAGTGGCATGTTTGTTACTACAGAGATACACATGTTAATGTGATCTCTGGTCTCCCACTCAGAGATACAGGTCTCCGAGTGTCCAGCATTCAGACGGCTACCTGAGGACACTCAGATATGTAGAGCCAAATACAGCAACAAATCCAGCTGCGTTTGTAATTCTGCAAACTTTGACCCCCACAGAGTCAAATCAGCTGCATTTCGATGTCCTCTGTGTCCAGCCAGTTAATGCATGGCAAATCCAGCTGCTCATTAAAGCTTTCTGGTTTGATCAGAAAAGAAAACATTGGTCCATACACCTGAAAGTCCCAAAAACACATTTTAAAGAGAATAAGAAAGAAAAGTATTTCTTTGTGCCCCCCTCTCCCTGTTAATGCCCTACCTGGCCCCCTGGCAAAACTTTGCTAGACCCGCCCCTGCACACTTACCAGCTGTCAGCTTACTTATAAAAGGATCCTGGTGTTATTTGTCTCTCAGAAACAGTTCATAACTTCCCTTCAACTCATTCACGTCACCTAAAAGGTAAACCTGTTTCTCCATCACCTGTTCAGCTCTGATGATCCAGTAAGGACATCTCCTGGTTTCATCTTCATGTTTCCCTCTCACCACATAACCGAACTGATATCATGACCAGCAGCTTTTACTGCTGTGGCTCCAGCAAACATCAGCTGATACTAGAAATTAATATTACATCAATTCTAACAACAGCTGATCAAGCTTAAACGTGCTGCTGTTGTTTAGCGCGACATCCGCTGGTTTCCTCTTCCTGGCGCAAAGTGGGCGATAAACAAACAAGAGAGAAAAGCCGATCAGCTGATCATTGATCAGTTTCACGATTGAAGTGGCAACAGGAGAGGGAGGGTGAGAGAATGAGAGAAGAAGAGACAGCTGCAGCATAAAGACAGAATAACTCCAGCTTTGTGTCTTTTTCCATTCTAGCTGAAGTCCGGGACAAACTGTGTTCTTTTTCAGCTCAACACGAAACTCATAATATTTTCTCTGAATACGGAACGATTACGCTTTTTATGGGACGGCAACTCTACTAACTAACCTTATGAATAAAGTTCACTATCACTAACATCATATCACCCGCCCAGCTGTATAGAAACTCCGTCATGCTAGCTAGTACGCAGTACGAGTTATTGTAACTGACTGTAAAAAGTCAGCACAACGAAAATAAACTCCACCTAAACTTGGCTTTTAACTGACCCAGATAGACTGCAGGTCATAACTTCTCGGACACTTGGACCGGCGGCCGCCTCGGGTCTCTCCTCCTCCTGCCTCCCCTTTCTTTCATCCACCTGCCTCTGTGGAAGCTCCGCCACAGCCACCACCAAACAACTAAGTTATTTTTACACACCGGCCAGCATCTGGCCAATCCACTACCTTTCAATGTTTACAAAAAAACGAAACAAAACATCGGCCCATAAAAATGAAAAATCAACATCGGTCGGTATGCTCGATGGCCAGTCCAGCTACAGTTGTGCCATCAGTTAACCCCTGGCACGCGTGCCCAGGGTTGCTGATCCCTGGTCTAAAGCAACGTAAAGAAGAGTGGATCCAAAATTCCTTCCTGGCAATGTGAGAGGTGACAAAGTCCTGCAGAAATCAGTTACATCACGGTATTGTTGCTAACAGGTTGTTTTTGAAACTACTGAATCATGAGGTATACTTAGTTTTTCACACACTACTTCTGGATTTTGCCTCAATCTTTGTTAAATAAATGATGATGTTGTTCATCTGAGGTCAAGGTTACATTTGAATTAATTTAACACATGCTAAGGACTAGATGATATTTTGTTTACTGTGTTCTGATACGTAAAACCTTAGAACAGACAGGGTAAACGTTCTTTTTCAGGTCTGCATAATATTCTAACCAGCCTTTTTTGCAGCACTCCAGCACCTTGTTTCTCTCTTTTCAGGCAGCATTTGTGCTTTTAATGTGGCACTACTGTCCCTCATTCTTCCTAAAATATTGTCATCATCGCCTCTACTTTGATAGGCTGTGAATAACTCTTGTAAATTAGGTTTGAAGTGGCTGGCTAGTCCCTTTTTGTGTGAACTTGACAAGGTTAATTTGAAGGTGTGAGCAACACTCTTCCTGACACTCAAGATCATTTTGAAACCCTGATTTTCATGTGCCAATCATAAAGGAAAGTGAGGGGAAACGCTGTGTAATCTGAATATCGCCGCTTGCTGGTGTTCGGTATATGTAAATGGCCACACAGTGAAGGATTTGCATAATTGGGTGCTGTGAGATGGAGAGCCACATTTTAATCTTTTGTATCATCTGAGCAGCAGGCTATTATCCAGTTCGTGACACTGTCCTCCATCCTGTCCTCCTCAGGTACCTACTTCACACATGAAGCCAAAGGAGCAGACGACGCAGCGGATGCAGATACAGCCATCATCAATGCCGAGGGTGGCCACACCAATTCTGATGAAAAGAAGGAGTACTACATCTAATCAGAACAGGACCCCTCACCTCCAATGTCCTGCTTGGGACACTGAAGGGTTTTTTGGGACGGGGAGAGGGGGAAAAGGTGGGGGTTGACAGAGGGGTTGGAATCGGTTCGGTGGAGGGGTAGAAGAGACACGGGATTTTAAAGAAAGGCCTGGTTTTAAGCCGTTGTCTAGTCTAGTCTGCAGATGTAGATGGAATGTTGTGTGTGTTTAAAAAAAGAAAAAATCAAAAAAGGATAAAAAATGTTAGGGTCTGGGGTTTTCAGTATACAGGGATGGGTGGGAGGGTGTGCCAGAAATCACTGTAGAGAGCTTCACCATTCAACACCTCCCTAACTGCTGGTACAAATTTTATTTAGTTCAACCATTTGCAGAAAATTCTGTGCCTTGTTCGAAATCTTTTGGTTCTACCCATATTTTGCATTTGTGTTGATCATCGTTTGCATAACCTCGTTGCTCCCCTTTTCCCGTTTCATCTTCCCACCTCGTAATTATCAGTGTGCTGTTGGCTTTTGTATGAGGGTAAAATTACACAGCCACTTTATTAATGTCTCTTAATGTGTCTGCACAAACGGATCCTCTCCTGCATAACAAAAACTCTTTCCAGTATACTGTGATTTGTCTCAAGCCATTACTTTCTTCTCTTTCTCCCTGAAGTTTTGACAGCTCTAAAAATGCATGGAACGCTTTACATATCATTGTACAAAGGACATAAAAGAGAAACAGGTTTGTAGTACTGGACCACACACACGACACCACAGAAAGAAACACGACTAAAACAGAGGCACAGAGGCTAATGTAAAAGGATGTTCCCATTTCAACAGGCCGGTTCAGTTTGAAAATTCATATTTAAAAACCTCGGTTTTGTTTTTGCAGAGCAGATATACTTCTGTATTACTGTCTTTTAAGGCATTACATTCCTTAGTGAAAAGAAGCAGTGCATTATTTTTTCCTCACTGCATTGCCATTTCATTATTTTTGATTTCTTCCTCTGCTCTGTGTTATTTTTCTTCTATTTGCTGAATGGAAGGTCTGTCTTCCCACCGGCTTTTATTGAGTTGTAATGTTGGTTTTCAATTGATTTCCATCTGCTCTCACCCTAGAATATTTTTTATTATAAATGAGAAAGTAAGAAAATGTAAATTGTCCTAAAATTGTTTTGACACATCCTCAGTCAAGATGCCTCTGTAATAAAAGACTGTTGGAAAAAAATATTTGGTGTTAATATTTGCCAATCAGCAGCTGACATTGCTGGTGTAGTGTACGCCATACAACAAGTTTTCCAAGTAGAGAACCAGCCTTAATATAACTCCAAACTGAAGCCCATTCAAAGTTAAGTTACATCTAATCGGTACATAGCTACATGATACATAGCAGTCAAGGTCCTCCCATTAGCAGGTTCACGTTATCTCATTGACACACAGTCCAATGTAAATCAAGCCAATGGCATCACAACTGTATTGTACACTAATCCTTACTAAGAAATATTTTTTACAACTTACTAGAATTACAATGGAGTACCTTTGTGGATTTTACTGTATCACGTTCATTGTCAGTTTTGTCAAACTGTAAAATATGGAAGTGTTATGGAAAGTACATGTCTTCGAAGTAGAGTGTTCTGAGAGACAAACCATTCGCAGCCATTCACCACCATACACTATATGGACAAAGGTATCTTTGAGTTCAGGTGTTTTGGGTCGCCACAGCTGTAGAAAATCAAGCACCGAGCCGTGCGGTCTACTTTTACGAATATTTGTGACGGGATGGGTTCTTCTAAGGAGCTCACTGAATTCTAACGTGGTACTGTAACAATGTGCCACCAGTGCAACAAGTCAGTTTGTGAAATTTCTTCCCTTCTAGGTATTCCACATCTAGTCTAAGTGAAACCACAGGACCTTAGCCATACAGTTATAGAGCTCCAGCCCTCCTCTGGCATTAACATCAGCACAAATCTGTGTGCCAGGAGCTTCATGGCATTAAGAAGCTCCTTTAGGTGTAATGGATAGGTGACCAAGTACTTTTGTCCATGTAATGTACGTAATTTTGCTCAAATTCATTCATTTTTGAACACCAAAATATTAATTTTGCATGTATGCTCATGCTAGAACCCGTTGTTTTTGCTTCTCTATCATGGTTTATGTACAACCTGCCAAAAGCCAATGAGAATCTGTTTCGCTATGTCAGTTTGGGAGCACTGAGGACACCAGAAGTAATTAATTGTTCATAAGATGACATATTACACACGTTGTGGTCCTTGGTGTTAATCCATGGTTTGCATTATTGCTCTGGCTTTTCAACATGGCAATGTGGGTTTACCAGTGACATTGTTTCTCATTATTATGTGTTCGCACAGCAAGCAACACGCTTAATGAATCCTTTCTCCATGTGACAGCTGTGGGTGGATAAAGCTGGAGGTTTCAGATGCTGTGTACAATTTCAAGAGTTTCTGTTGTGATATTACATCACACTTCAAAGATTTGTCAAAGTTAGCATGTGCCCAACATCAGCAGCAGCAGTTTTTTTTTTTTAAAGTGAAATTGGTCTAATGTTGAAAAACTAGTGTCAAGAGGACAAACTAAATCATATTATTCAAGGAAAAGGTGGCAGTTTGATTTCTAGTGTTTATTTACCATCCACATACTGTTAATTTCAGCTCAAAATCTGAATTACTAATGTTTGCTTGTTTATTGATATACATTATTTGTTGTTGTTTATTAAATGGGACACCTGTGGAATTGGAACAGTTAAGCTTTGCATTAAATCCATTTTCAAGAAATTTGAAAAGTAATGGCAGTGCATCGTAAGCGTAAGATGATGCTTGATTTCTGAATTACGCTTCTAAATAAAATGAATGCAATCTGTTTAAAAATCTCAAATCTTAAACCTGCTTTACCTTTCCCTTGTTTTGTAATGAGATGGAAATGTGTTTCAAAATGACTTTGAAACACTTTGGTCAGACTTTGCCCCCCTTTGCAAGTTGCTAACTGTTAAAATTACTTTCTAATTTTAATAGGAAAAAATGTTTTTTAAGCTTCATAAAATGGATTCTTTGAGAGAAACCAATAAGATGTTGGAATAAATAAATCAAGACACTGAAAACCACTTTTCCAGTTCATCACTGTTTGGCGCATTTATGGATTCTTTGGCACTTAATGGTGTTGCTTGCCATGTGTACACTCACTATGATTTAACACTGTGTTGCTATGTTAAAGCATTTGATTGGATTTTGTTAACGCGCAGCTCGTATTGCGACACATTACCAATGTGGTAGCTTTAATATTTCATGGTCATGCATGAAGACAACATTCAGCCTTTCCATGTTGAGATTTGGGGTGGCTCTTAGACATCCACAATCCACAGCGCAAATTACACTTTCTTGACCATCTGTGCATTTAAAAACGTTTAAGTTTTGGGGCGGGGTGATTTTAGAGCACAGCAAGTGGAACGGGGGGAGCTGTGGATACGTTATTTTTAGTTTTGGATGTGGTAGTTGTAGATAGGATTTACAGGAGAGACGATGTGGACAAAAATCAAAGATGTTGTGTCCAACTCTCTCCATCTGTTTCTTGTTAAAACTTGAGTTCATTTTAATTAGTTCTGGACTCACAAAGTAATTTTATCACAAAGTTAACACTGTATGCTGACGACACTGTTTTGTGTTTGTTAAATGGACGGGTGGGGGGTGGGGTGGGGAACTGATTAGGTAAATGTTTCACGGTCTGGTGTCTGATTTAACTATTAATTGACTTGTTATTGTTGCTTTATGAATCACAGAGCAGATGTCACTTTCATCTGTAAGACTGATATTGTGTGATTTGTATTTTCCAGTGAGCACTATTTCGCTTCAGTGACATGTGGCAGCTTTGATTTAAATCAGACTTCAAAATATGTACTTGCCAATAAAGGAATAGAACTGAATATTGTCTTCTCCCTAAGGCTGATACGTTAATATTTTATTTGTGAATATTAAACTTTTTGCAGATTGGAATGCCAGGAGTGTTTTACGTTATAAAAATATTTTTTTGTTCTCCCAAATTTCCAACATAAGAAAGTGAAAAAAATATATTTAAGTACGCTTAATTATTCCGAATCTTAGGTGCATAACAGAACGATAAGGTTATTGTACATATCATTTTATTTTCCATTATTCCCAGTGAAGTTTTAAAAAACGTTGACTATGGTCTTATCTTACAGTGCAACTGAGGTCGTTTTCTTCCCATTAAATTCTTTTGCTAGTGTCCTGTCTCAGGTTCATGCCTTGCTGACTGATGTGACTGCATCTCAGGTAGAATGCAAAATTTAGGCCCCACCTATCAATAACATAAAAGCAAGTACAATACATCATTAAATACAATTAAGTACAAAACAGAAGTTTAGGTCCCAAAGCAAAAAGGGTGAGATATTTTGCTTCTATGTTGTACATGTTTTATGTATTTTTCTTAATATTTGGTGCACTGTAAAAGATGTGTTAAGTATTGCTTTGTGTTAACATAGGTACTAAAGAGTACAATGTTTATTGGAATGAAGCAGGATCAGAAACTTGTTGTGGCTGTACTTCTGTCAATTTCAACGCACCACCACCTTTTGATTCCCAAAAAGTTTTCTTTCACCAGTCATTCTTTTCAGATTGATTATTTTTGTCTCTCTGCTGTACTTGGGAAATGTTAATGTGTATTAATGGAGAAGAGGAGTTCCACATTCCCATACACATTTTGTATTGGTTCATAAATAGACATTTTTACAAAACAATGAAGAGTTCTTGTCTTAATAAAAGAGAAAAGATATAAATGTCCAAAATAATCAGTGTTGGCATTGGTTTTTTTTAATAGGCTTTAGGTGAATTATTAAATGTAAAATGCTATACATATAATATGGGCGCAGAGCAATACATACAGTAATATTTACTTTGGAATTAAACAACAACAACTGTCCACCCTAGCATCTTCTTTGTCTTCCCCAATAGACACAAACACAGATTTTTACAACTGTTTAAGTGAAGGGTCTCAGTCATCCAGGTCATCAAAGTCTAAGGAGCTTGAAAAGAAAAGCACCTGGACTTCTTTAAGTTTCCTTGAAGACATTTCACCTCTCATCCGAGAAGCTTCTTCAGTTCTAAGAGCAATTCGGGTTCACCAGAAGCTTGGCTCGTGTGGGTCAAGATTCAGCAGGCATGTCCTGATTTAAAACCAAATTGCCTGAGGATAGAAGCTCCTATTGAGCCTCTCTGTTTTTGCCCAGATGGTGCTGAACCTTCTGCCTGATTGCATAAGTTGTAACAGGTTATTGATGGGATAGGACAGGCCCTTCAATATCTGCTCTGGACCAGCATCTCCTGGTGTAAATGTCCTGCAGGGAGGGGAGAGCAGCCCTGCTGTAGCGTTCTGCTGTACGGAAAGTCCTGAGGATCACTGAAAGGACCCTGAAATTCCTCAGTTGTCTGAGATAGTACAGGTGCCGACTGACCTTTTTGGACTGGACCTGAATGTGGGCAGACCATGTCAGGTCTGAGGAGATACTTGAAGGACTGCACCCTCTCCACTGGAGCTCCATTGATGACAATGGGCTTGTAGTCTCTGTGCTTACTCCTTCTGAAGTCCACCACCAGCTCCTTGGTCTTGCCAACGTTGCCGACATAGGTAGAGGATCCATGACCCTCTTGGGGACACTCCCATAGGGCTTAAAATCTGGGACTCTCCACCAATTGCTCTTGGAACTAAAGAAGCTTCTTGGATGAGAGGTGAAACCTCTTTAAGGAAACCTAAAGAAGTCCTTTCCAAGCTCCTTAGACTGTTCCTGCAGATGAACCACATTATTTTTGTGTTCCTGAATGTGATTTTTCATATATCACGTACTGATTCATGACAATGCAAACAAAATTGACATTTTGCACTTTTAAAAGACAAACACCCCTGCATTGATTGCTTTAGTTGCTCTCTGAGTTGTAGTGAATCTTGAAAAACAGCAATGCAACCAGAATTGGAGTATGTTTGCCTTGAAAATAAAAGTTGTGCCTTACCGCTATAACAAAATTGTGTCAAAAGATGCAACTTTTGTTTTGCATCATACCTTCATGGTTTTACTACTCCATTAGCATTTGCAGATAACTTGGCATCTTCCATGCAAAGTATGGGCGCCTGTGACAAAGGACTATACCACTTCAGCTAGTCACAGCAATACACACAAGCTGAGGTCTTCCTAAGTCCTTAGCCTGCGTGACTGAGGAATTGGGGAGCACAGGTTGTGTCTTCCTGAGCACAAATTTCCCACAATTATTATTGTGTTTCTGGTTATGATTTTTAATCTGCCCGGTCTCATATGCTCTGATTTATGTCAGTGTACACAAAATAAATATTTACCACTTGTAAAAAGCAGAAACTCTATATTTGAACTTGAGGGGTTGCACCTAAGCTTGGGTCATACATGTCATACAAGAGTTTCAAACATCATGTATTTTTAGTTTATATGCCATTAATTCAAAGTACATCACGTGTTTGGGTTGTGACTAAAAGTGACTTGATGTGGTTTAGAAAAATCCCACAATTTTGCTGGTGAATACTAAATCCAGACTTTTACTAGACAACATTCTGCTGCCTGTCAAAGAAAAAACCTGACATCTATGAAGAGAAACACAGAGGTTCTTAAGTGACAATTACACATTTGCCTGTGAGAAACGGTGTCACAAGCGAGTCGCAGTGGAATACAAGTTTGATGTTTAGAGTGTCGTAATTTTGTTGGTGGATGAACATAACTCCATTACAGGAAACAGTGGAGGGGGTTTTACACTTACTTTCATTTTGAAATGTCTCATAAAAGCGTAATTATCCACACAGGTTCAGCTTCGCTGAGCAGTGGTGATGAATATCACAAGTGTATTTTGATTGAGACAAAGGTAGGTGTAATGGGATGGCTCTGCACATCCACTTATTCTTTGAAAGTGAAAACCTTGGCAAGAGGAGATGACATGAAATCTTTATCACATGCATAAACCAGTGTGAATATGGAGTATAAAATCAGTACTATCAATTAACACAAAGTGTAACATGTTGAGAGTGCCATGAAAGCTTTGACACATTTGGCAAGGTTTAGACTCTGACTCTTTTAAATCAACATCTCAAATATATGAAAGTAGTATCATTGATCTCAACACAGACAGAGTTGGTGTGAGGTGAACTGTCTGTCACAGACAAATGTAGTCCTCCATTCATATTTAATGTTCATGATTTAGGCTCTACTTTACACGTTAACAGACCTGTAATATTCAGTATTCAGTAGATGACTTGAGTAGAAGACGATATTATCTTTTTAATTACAATTTCGCCCCAGGCTCTCATTATACCTCAAGTGCTGTATATAATGAGCCAACATCTTAAATAAGTAAAGGTGATACTGCTATTGATTAGAAAGTTAAGACCCGAGGCAGGCTATCAGTCATAGAAAATGTACTTCTGAGCTCATGTTTAATGTGTGTGCCAGTTGGTCTCTTATGGAATCATTACTCAATATCCTCAAATAACTATTGAAAGAAAGAAATCCTATTCATTACACCTTAACAGACTCTCTACATAAATAGCTCCGTCCTAATAAAGCAAAGTCAAACCCTTCATGTCCTCGCTGATGATGTTTTGTACACAGTAATGAAAAGGTCAGTGGTGCGGTGTTATCTCTTTGTGTTAACCTTGCATGCTCAAAAGGTTAATATAGATATCCTGCAATAAGGAATACATTATTTATCCATTACTTGCGTGCAGCAATGACATTATTATTTGAGTCATCACAAGATAGCGTTTTGATTCTTATTTAATGAACTCCTTTAAAAAAATGTCCTTGTTACCATTTGCATATTATTCAGGGGATTGGTTGTTTAGCACCTACCCAGAGGCCATTAAGATTAGAAGGCCATGAGGAGGCTCTGCAAAGTAAACCTTTATAGCCTTGTATCAACAGGTGAACAAGAAGTGATTATGAATGATTTAGTAACTGCGAGATCGTGATGGGCAGGAAAGAGCAGAGCTATAAACTCTGGTGGTAATGGCAACCCTTAAGGCTACTTGGGAAATTAGGCTGTCTGTAAGGTCAACAATTACGCTACTTGTCTTTGCTCTGCAATCAGACCAGGTCCCCATTATGCAGAGAATTTTTTTAGACATCCTTTTTGCATGCAATAATTGAGTGAATAATTAGTTTTTATGTTTCTGCTCTGTATTTAAGCCTGTCTGTTGAAATTACATTAATATACTATTTGTGTTTGTCATTTATTTTTCCTTCTGAGGAATCATGACATGTCAGAACATGTAAGATTGGGACTTATGGTTAGGTGTAAATGCTGATATCTATACTTGTCATTGTCATGGTCTGTGAGTCCATAGGTTATATTTTTCATTTTTTCATTTTAAGATTGTTTGTAATTGCAGTTAAGACACAATTCTGCTCACAAGTTGTTTTATCACTAACCATAGGTCTGTTTTTCTTTATATAGTATTTTGTAGGTGTAGGTTTCCTTATATTGTCTTCTTAAGTCCACATTTTTATATTAGCTATTTCCATCTTATGTTTCTTCCTATTTAATATTGGCCTTATTTTTGCTTCCTTCTTCTCATTGTCATTGATTAATTTCACCTGCACCTTGTTTTCCCAGCTGTGTCTCATTGCTCTGATTAATCTTCAGTGTATTTAAAACCCTGTCTCTGTCTCTCATGTGTTCTCTGTGAGTATTTGTTTTCCTGGCCTGTGTGCTCCAGTTTCTTTGCGTTATTGCCTCAGTGGCTTTTGCTTTGTTTTGGGACTTTGGTGTACTACCTAATAAAAGGTCTTTTTTTGTTTGCTTGCTTTTTTGAGTTTCTGCCAGTCTCTGAATCCTGTACTTGGGTTCTGTATCTTGTTAGAAAAATACCACTTTACTAGTTAAACCTTAGTTGTATCGGGTTTGACCCCCTTTTGCCTTGAGAACGACATTAATTCTTCATAGCACAGATTCAACAAAGTGCTGGAAACATTACTCAGAGATTTTGGTCAGTACTGATATGATAGCATCACACAGTTTCTGCAGCTTTGTCAGCTGCACATAAATGATGTGACTCATCCATTCCACAACATCCCAAAGGCGCTCTACTAACTTGAGATCTGGTGACTGTGGAGGTAATTTTACTGCAGTGAACTCAGTGTTATGTTCAAGAAACCAGTTTCAGATGAATTAAGCTTTGTGACATGGTGTGCTGTCGTGCAAGATGCAACTATCAGAAGATGTGGTCATAAAAGACATTTTCAGGTAAGCTGTGGTGCTTAAATGATGCTCAGTGGGTGCCAAGGGGCCCAAAGTGTGGCGAGAAAATATTCCACGCAATATTACGTGTGGTTTTTGTAGCCTTTTCTGTTGTTGCCAATTTTCAAAAATGGCCATTTTGATTTTTGTTAATGAGACGCTTTCATGATTCATCGAGTGATACCACTGACCAGCCAGTCAGTGGCACGCAGTCTGACAGCGTCACATTTTAGTACCTGCCTGGATCGCTTTGTAACCCCAGCAGAGCAGTTACTATTTTAGTATCTGTTGGCAGGTACTATGACCTAATGAAAAACCCTGAAAACTGTGGTGAGTCAATCCGAACAGGTACTAATGGAAAGGAGGGCTTTGGAGTGGTCTTCTGCTGTTGTAGCCCACCTGACTCAAAGTAAGTTATGTATTTACAGACGCTTATATATCTTTGTTGCATTACTGTATTTTTTGCACTATAAGGCGCACTTAAAATCCTTTAATTTTCTCAAAAATCGGCAGTGTGCCTTATAATCCGGTGCACCTTATG